TCATTTCAAAATAATCAGAAAGAAAACATGCTTGAAGGGAAGTACCTTCTCAGCCTCCACCTCCAGATCCCATCTGCCTTCCTGTCCCATCCTTTGTTCAGATCAGATCCCAAGACTTTCCTTTTATTTTCCTGCATGGGAAATCTTAAACCATTTTACAGTCATTTTTCACAGTGCACAGTATGCATATAATGGCATATAATGGCAATTGCCTGCTTATTGAACCAGCATTGAGGGGAAGCTGTAGCTCAGAGATATAGTAATTGGTTTGAACACAGAATGCCCCAGGTTCAGCTCCCAGCATTTTCAGGAAAGTCTTTGAAACCTTCCTTGAATTTCTGGAGGGTTATTGCCGGTTGTTGGCACTTGAATATTTTCTCCCATCTCATAAAGCAGGGGTAGGGAATCCACATGGGAATAATGTGGTTTTCTTAGGCAAAGGTAGTTTTGCCAATTTCTTTTACTGGAATATAGCCTTAGGTACCTAGTATTCATTGGTGATCTCCTAACTAAGTACTAACCAGCCTAGCATCAAAGATCAAATGAGGTGGGGTCTAGTTGTTACCCACTGGGGCCTAAATATGCTGAAGCAGGGATTCTCCAAGTTTTTTGCCCCTGGGCCCTTTTTGAAGGAAAAGTTTCTTGTGGAGCCCCAAGAAATGGTTATATAAATCATATTATATTATATTATATTATATTATATTATTTTAATTTAATTTAATTTAATTTAATTTATTATATATAATGTATACAGGGGCGGCTCAACCCATTACGCAAAGTAAGCATTTGCAGTATAGTTGATTTTTCCCAGGGGTGCTCTTGAGGCGCTCTTGGGGGAAAATAGAACTTGACATATGCGAGTTGTAGTTACTGGGATGTATAGTTCACCTACAATCAAGGCAAGGGGCAAAGAATCTGTGCAACAAGGAAGGCGAGGAAACAAGACTTCTGGTGGCAAGGGAGGTGAGGAAAAAAGACTTGGTGGCAAGGAAGGTGAGGAAAAATGGCTTTTGTAGGCAAGAGAGGTGGAGGGAAAGGCTTTTGGCAGGAAGGGAGGCAAGGGGGAAAAAAGGCTTGCCAGTAAGGGAGATGATGGGAAAAGCCTTTTGGCAGCAAGTGAGGTGAGAGGAAAAGCTTTTGGCAATGAAGGAGGCCGGGGGGGGGGGGGGGGGAGTAGGAAAGAGGAAGGAAAGCTGGGAGGGGGAGAAGGGAAGCACGGAGCCCCTCAGTATGCTTCTCAGAGCCCCAAAGGCTCTGGAGCACACTTTAAGAACAGCTGTCTAAAGGCACCATACTCCATTTGCCTTCAAGTCACCCAATGACTTGAAGAGAGAAGCACACATTTCCTAGTTCATTTCCTAGATAGTATATTGTATTTAAAAACTATGACATTGCATAAATCTTGTGTGTGTGTCAAGAGAGAGAACAAGAGAGAAAGTGAGAGAGAACTTCTTTGTAGCATTTGCCTTTTAAAAACCGTTTAAAATGTTAAAACAGGTAATGTCCACATGGTACTGACTTTGAGCAACTGCAAAATATTAATGTAATTCCTGACAATTGGAGCAATAAAGTTTTAAAATGGTGAAAATGACAAAAATGATTTTATCTAAAGGCATGAAGTGCCACAGAGAACTATCTACACTAAACCTATGTGAGATCCCCGGGACCACTTTTGGGTCCAGTGATTTAATTTTTAAAATACCAGTACCACTGGAGTATAATTGGAAAATCTATGCTAGCCCACAGAGAAGGTGATGCATTTTTTGAAATAATATCAAGTAGGAATATCGTGTAATTGCTGGAAACACCCTCTTGGTGCAGCCTTTTTGCTTGCCTCTGCTGCTAGCTGAATATAAAAGAGTTCATTACTGAAAAGCTGTCAATTTTAACTTATATCTATTAGGCTATGTTTAAAGTAAGAGATGAATTCTTGCTATTTTGGATCACACAGTGTATTAATGCTGTGCATTTTTAAATAGAATGATGTGCACTTAAAGCAGAACTCAGCTGACAGCTTTGCTAAAGAAGGCCTTGCTCTATGTTAGATCAGAGGCTAGATATTTCACACCTTGCCTTTCAGTGAAATATGGGGTCCTCACAAGGAAAAAATAGATAGCTAAAATGAGAGATGGAATTGGGACAAGAGTAATAGCAGCATATGACACTGACAAAGCATGGCAGCAGCAAGAAAAATCAGTATCATTGTAAGGTGGCAGAATGAGACATCCAGGGCGCAAAAGCAATGACTAAGTGGCTGCTCTCTAAACCCTGATATTATACAGACTCGGACCTAGGATTATGATCATGGCACTTGTAAACTTCAGTGTTGTCTCCCATCTTGTTTAATATCTACATGAAATCACTTGAAGAGGATCTCATGAGAAGTGAAGGCTGCTTTTGTCTATATACCAGTGATGAGGCAGTATATCATATCTAGGGCCAGAAGCAGATGAAAGGTGATTCCTCTGGTCTTAAAGGGATAGAAAGGGATGCAAATACAACTTCCATTATGCCTAGGTCCACAAGCAGATGAAATACCCTTCTTCAATCCCAGCTGCCACTGCCCTGGCCCCAAAAGGACACAAGAAAAAACTGTTTCTGGTTTTATCCCCACTGCCTTCACATTTTCCTTTTGGGTCTTGCCTTAATTATATTGTAAGGCCGGGGAGGGGGGGGGGAGCAGGAAACAACTTTTGTTCTGTTACTAATAAGTGCTATGGACAAATAAATGGCAATGATAATTGTCATCGTAGCAATCTTCATGATCTTTGACAGCTGATCTGGAATGACTGAAGCCTGTATGAAAAAGAAGTTGTAATCCAAAAGGGCAATCCTGTATAGATGCTATTTCTGGGCAAAGTCATCCACAGCTATAAGAACCAGATCTATAGCTTGAGAATGGTGCTCAGCCTAACACCAAGACTGGAGCCCCAAATTGTAGAATCTGTGGTTAGATGCCTGAAGTGCTTTTGGGTTTGGTTTTGGGTTTTTTTGAGATATGCTTATGGATATTAACTGCCTTCCTTTATTTCTTGTTACCCCAAACAGATTAATTAACTTTCAAAACAATAAAAATTCAAAAACTTAAAAAGTAAGGAAGAAGAAAAGAAAAAGACATATAATTAAAACATAGTAAAACTCTGATTCCTCAATTTTGATTGCAATAAAAAGTAAATAAAAAAGTGGGAGGGGAGAAAGGTTTTACTGTTACAGATCCAACCAAATAACCCTATTATTGATAACTACAATCACAGCTTATTACATTATTAGAATTTATTTGTTCCTCAAAAAAAATCCATGAACAGTTTCTAGTCTTCAACAAAAAATGGAATTGTTTTATCCTTTAGAATCCATGTAAATTTGGCCAGTTAGACTAACTGAGAGACTTTAACAATCCATGTTGCCATTCATGCTGTGGTGACCCCTGAATAATAATAATAATAATAATCATCATCATCATCATCATCACCGATACATCACACAGTCCTAGACACTTGGGAAGTGTCCGACGTGTGAGCCAATACAACAGCCAGCAGAGTGATCTTGTTTGCTGTGGACTCATCTTGTTGTGTTTCTAATAATAATAATAATAATAATAATAATAATAATAATAATAATAATGTTTCAAATAATAATAATAATAACAATAAGAATAATATACTAAAACTGCCCTTGAAGGCAGTTTGAAAACTTCAGCTAATTCAGTAGTCTACACATATCCTGTTTCCTGTTATATATTTCCTGTTTCAGAGCATCTGCTGCATTGTTACTAAAATCAAATTAAGGGCCAGATCCAATTGCTGTATGAAATCAACACTTCTATAAATTCTGTTAATTCAATACATATACTCTCATCAGTCTGAGATCATTGTGTTAATTTTTAAATATCCTAAATATCTTAGGAATGTTTTCTCCCATTCATCCACTTCCCCAGGACTTAACATTTTCTAAAGACTCCTTATTCTAGATTTTATTATATAAGGAAAAGATATCAGGTTACAGCAACAGATGGATAGCAAGATAGTAGAGAATTGTCTTCTAGGAAAAAAATGAAACAGGCCCTTTCTTCTACACCTACGCCATTATATATAAGTGAAGCTATTTTGTTTCCATTGACCTTGATTACTGTTTCACACTGATATGCTTCTCCCCCCCCCCCCAATTGCTTGTAATGGCAGCACAGGAAGCTTCCCATGTTGCCACAGTAGAGTGGCATGTGCTGACTCCACCCTCCTTCACCCATGGAGCTGCACTGGCATCATTTGATGGGAGCTGCTGGGCTTCATGGGTGACCTGGGATAAACCAGCACATGTCTCCAAATTTAGCCTTTTGTGATGAGGTTGTAAGTTCTTGGCTTTCATCGTTCTGGTCAGAGAAAAAAAAAGATTTTTTTTTCAATAAAAGTTAATGCTGTACATTAACTTTTATCAAAAAAGGACAGCTTCTTCTCTGAATATACTGGTAAAAGGCCTTTTTGAATGCCTGGCAAGAAAAATGGTGGCAGCAGTGCCGAGGAGGCACTGGTGTTTTCCCTTCTGCATGGAATGACCCTTGACTTTTCCACAGGTCATATCAAGATCCATAATTTGTCCCCAAAATCTGTCCTCAATTTATACATGATGTCAACTGATACATGAGTATATGCGGTGCTTGTTTTCAGAAAGAATAACCAAAGGGGTGTTCTGTTGTGAAGGACACTTAATAGCCCATGTGAAACCTCTGTTTCATGCATTTCTTAATCCATCGTTGCATCATTTAAGAGTATAAACTGGGAATATTTGGCCTCCCAGATGTCCAGTTTCAACATGCAGAAATCCCAAACATCATCATCATTAATAACAGATGGTGGAATTTGTTATCTAAACCAGCCAGAAGGCTGGAGGCTTCACCTTTTGGAATGATACCAGAAGAAACTGGGCATAACTGAGAAAGTTTGTTGGTTGAGTTGATTTTCTGTTGCTCTATGTTAATTTGCTTTGTGGAAATTCTTTCCTTGTAGCTTCGTTTGGCATGGTTCCTCCACGGTATCTTGCTTGGAGATGTTTCCCTCTTCCTTGTTGAGAACAAGACTGGGAAGGAATACAGCAGAAAGCTGTGGCATTTTGAGAACAGAAAAGGATTGGGGGTCTGGCAGAAGATGGTCAGGCCTCTCATTGATGTGTCAGACAGGTAGGAGATAATACCTTTTTTTTCATTCTTTACATCTTTCCACTCCCAGGTATCTGGAATTCTTGAGAAAATATATCAAAAACTATACCCATGGTGGACTAGACTCTAGCAGACAAATTAATGTTGATGTGGAATACACCTTTTCATTTAATGGTGTAAAAATTAATGGTTGATTTTGACAAAATGCAGCTTACAACAGCTGAGGAAGCAGGTTGATAGAAGTAAGCTGAGAGAGAGACCCATACACTTTGAAGACACCAAAACTCCTATCTCATCTTGTAAGCTAAGTAGGAATCTGTTCTTGGTTAAAGTTACATTGGGGAGAGAAAGATCCACTGCGTAAGCATTATATTCCACCCAAGGGGCAAGGGCAAATGATAAAAAAACACCCTCCTGGGTATTTCCTGCTTTAAGAGAAAAAAAACCTTATTTATTTTTAGGGCAAGAGGGTGTTTTTTCCCATTTAAGGTCAAACATGACCACAAGACACCCCACACTCTAGGGCTTGAGGAAGAGATTGGTAATCGTTACCACCTGCAACTTCCACACATTGCCATTGGGTCCATGTGAGGACAAAAGCAGTTGGCATTGGGAAGAAAAAAATACCTTATTTTTGATAATATTGGGTTTTTTCTAACAAAACCTGCTTTCAAGCTGATGGCTGATTGTAATTTGTTTTATAGGGGTGGCAAACAAAACTTTCAGGGGCAATTTTAAAAAAATGTTTTTTTTAAATAAACATTTCCTTAGAAATGAGTCCTAAGAATGATTTTGTGCTTTCTTTCTTATGATGTCTAATGGATAATATCAAGGGATCTCAATTTGGGCCAATGATAAGAGATCATGTTGAGTCTGTTTTTTGACATATACTGAGCTCATGATGCTGTTCAGAGCCAGTTGCTTGAGTCTGAATGGTGGGCCTAATAAGCTTCCCGGAATCCCATTAGCCAGCACAAGATTCTGTCTTTAAGAAAAGTTCATTAAGGTAAGTGTCATCTGCATCCTCATACCTGCAGACTATAACAACTTTCTCTACTAATTCATCTTTTCTAGTATTCAGGGGTGTTTTCACATGGAACTCAATTCACTGGAAAATAAAATTGGTCTGAACTTCACCTCAGATGTGAGCATTGCTTGTTTTTTACATCCCTGAGTGGTGAGAAGTTCTGGAGCCATTTGATAAGAGAACACAGCAGACTTATTACAGTTTTATACAATTTGCTGTACGGTATCCCACCCCTATCCATGAGGCATACATTCCACCCTCACCCCAAATACCTAAATTGTGGGTAATAGCAAATCCAATTTGCTATTACCCACAATTAAATTTTGAATATTCTTGCACTGAAAGAAAACAACTGCTGGAGGGGGGGCGCGCGATATTTTTGGATCATGGATAGGAGTGTCCCCAATTCTACCTCTCTACATTATCTCTCTCTCTTTCTTGTATACGGACTCCATTTTATTTCCTCTCATCTAAAGGGATGACACCATATCCAAACTTTCCCCATCTCTTCTGGAATTATCTCCTTATCACCCTCACTGAAAATATCAGGCAACCATTCTGGGATATTAACCAGCCTCCTTCCTGATGAAGGAATGCTATGGTGAAAGCAGTCACAAAAGTATCTGTTTAGCCCAGAGACATTTCCCACTCTCAAGTTTGGGCACTCCAACACTGATCTAGAAATATGAGACAGGTCACTATCTAGTTGGGACCTTCATGCAAATGAAACGTTTGATGTTTTATTAGGATTGTGAGGATCTGAGCCATAGCTTTTCATTCAGCTCTTTCACCCAAGAATAATAGATTTCTTTGCAAGGGTTACCTTGTCTCTTGAGATATTATGTAGAAAGGATCTTTCATCTTGCTAACTCCAGAAAGAGCACAAAGCCTTTTAATACAAAAGGGACACCAACACAGGATGCATAATTAATATGGCAGATAAAAATATCAACATTTGTCTCTGTTTGTTGTTTCTCTCTGCTGCCTTTGCCCTCTGAAAGAAGACGTAGTTGCTTTATTCCATTTTACTATGTTTCATTTATCTACAGTCTCCTTTGAAGACAGCTTTGGTATTTCGCTGGCATCATTTAGGAGTAATAATTTATTTATGTGTTGCCAAGGTAACATTTTTTCCCCTTGAACTACATCCATACTTATATACTTTTGGCATTCTTCTTGCCAGGCCTTATCCTAATGTTAACAGACGACACGCTGTCCCTTCTAACTATTTGCATGGCCAAATGCACAACTGTGTGAGTTATTATCGCACAAAGATCGTACTGTGTGTGATCTTGGAAGAATCTAAGGAGAAATGTAATAAACTGTGCTGCTCAAAGTAGGTCTTTGAAAGCCGTCCTGGGATTGTGGAAGCAGTGTAGCCATTTCATCAGACATACTTTTAAAAAGTATTCCCAGATACAAAGACTTGTGGATGCTGTGAAACTAGGCCTTTCATATAAGTATTTCCCAAGGAAATTATTCTGCACAAGGCTTGTAAACAAAACTAATGCTGGCTAATGGGTCCCACAGTAGTGAGATAGTGAATTCATTCTGGCTTTTAGTTTGAATTTTAAGGAAGCTGTTCAAGCCACTGAATCTATTTGAGCGCAGTAATCTTCAGTACCTTGGATACCTCCTATAGCATTCAGATTAAAACCTCATTTGGATTCACTGGTATTGCGTTTATTCAATTCTAAGACACATATTTTTCCTATATCAACATATCTAAAATTGGTGTGTGTCTTAGAATTGCAAGTGTGGTGTATCTTACACATTTTTGTTGGTTTTGGTGATATTGAAATTAGGGTTCATTTTACAATTGATGGTGTCTTACAATTGAAGAAATATGAGTATATGGATATCAAAGCCATCAGTGACCAAATCTTACTGTGTGAATCTATGCAAATATGTATGGGGAAAAGGCAGAGAAAGACAGAGAAAAGTAGGAAGTGTGATCGGATCATGTAAAATCCAACATTCCTACTGTAAGAATTGGAGTATATGTGTGTCTAGGAGCATTTAGCAGAAAAAAAACAAGCAAAACCCATCCCTGTTCCACATCCCTTGACAGTCTACTGTATTTATACTGGGAAGAGAACTATATAATTCCTTGGCATATCTTGACATATCAGCCTTGGAGGGTTTTTCATGACTGACTAGGGGCTTTGATTGGTCATTGCACAGTAAGCATATGCAATTTTGAGTAACAGGTTCCAAATCTTGAAAAAATAAGGTCGTTTTGCATAATAGCATAAGTGAAAGCAAAGCTTAAAAGCCAGTATTTCAAGCTGGGAGAGAATACTTGAAAAATGAAGGAACCAAAAACTCTCATAAAAGCTTATAAATACTGAAGCAATTCTAAATCAAACTGAAGGGTTCTGCCTTTTATTGTTTATACAATATTTTAGTCATTTGTTTTTTATGTATGAATTATTATTATTATTATTATTATTATTATTTTATTTATTATCTGCCTCTCCTCATGGTTTGAGGCAGGTCACAGCACAGTCAAACACAAACATTGCAAGAATTCTAAAGACACACATATTAAAATGTAGTTCTATAAAAGATACATATTAAAACATATTTCTATAAAATACATATGTATTTTACATTCAGTACACAGGACAGAGATTAAAATATAGGACATTAGTTTAAAATTCACGCTTAAAACTGACTGGGTAGGCCTGTCAGAAGAGATAGATTTTAGATGGGTTTTAAATTCCAACAACTCATTTAGCTGCCGAATTTCTTCTGGCAGTTTGTTCCAGTCTTAAGGCAGCTGATGGAAACATCATCTGGGTGGCAGTTGCCAGTCAGGTTGTGACAGGATGAAGCAGCCACCCCCAGAAGACCTAAGTGGATTGTATGGGAGAAGGTGATCCTGTAGGTAACCTGGATCCAAACCATTTAGGGCTTTAAAGGTCAAAATCAACACCTTATACTTTGCCTGGAAACTAACTGGCAACCTGTGGTGTGACTTTAGTTTAGGTGTAGTATGCTAACTCCTGGATGTTCCCATAACTAATCTGACTACCATATTTTTGAACCAGCTGGAGTTTCTGAACTTGGTACAAAAGTAGCCCATTGTAAAGCACACGGCAGGAGTCCAACCTTAAGGTTACCAGTGCATGCACTACCATCTTTAGGTCCTCCAAATGTAGATAGGGGGGCGGCGGGCATATCATTCAAAACTAGTAGTAAGTACTCCTGACTGTCAGATGTAGCTGGACTGACATTTAGAAAAACTGATCCAGGAGCACTTCCAAGCTGTGAACAGTCTTTCCAGGGGAATGTAACCCCATCCAGAACTGGTTGACACACCTCCATCCCCAGATTGGAACCCTTGATGGCAAGCACCTCTGTTTTGTCTGGATTCAATTTCAGTTTGTTTTTCCTCATCCAGCCCATTACATCCAGGCATTAATTCAGAGAAGACACATTATCCTTAGCTGAGATTCTTTTTGAAGGCATGGAGACATATATTTGGGTGTCATCAGCATACTGATAACACCCCACCCCATGCTTATGGATGATCTCTCTCAGTGGTTTCATGTAAATATTAAAAAGCATTGGGGATAGAATGGCACCTTGTGGGATGCCATATAACAACTCATTTTTAGAGGAGCAGCTATCCCCAAGCACCACCATGTGAAACCTGTCTGAGACGTACAACCGGAACCACTGCAGCACAGTGCCTCCAATTCCCAACCCCGCCAGGCATTCTAGAAGGATACCATGGTCAATGGTATTGAAAGCTGCTGAGAGGTCTAGAAGCTACAACACACTACCCTGTCGATGTTGAGATGGAGATCATCCACTAAGGCAACCATAGTAGTCTCAACTCTATATCCTGCTCTGAAGCGGGTTTGAAATGGTTCAAGGACGTGTGTGTCATCCAAGATTGCCTGGAGTTGGAAGGCAACTGCCTTCTCAATCACCTTGCCCAAAAGATCCAGGGGATCCAGGGAGGGCTTTTTCAGCAGCGGTCTAA